CAGGAGGCGGTGGGTATACGTGACGTCTCTTAGACCGCCCTTGACGTCTTGATACGAAGTAGTGAGTTTATATAAGAGGTCGTCGACATCGCTTTGTGAAGCTCAATATCGAAACAATCTCATTTTATACCAACCAAAACTACCACCAACAACAACCTTTCCAACCAACCATCAAAATGCAGTTCACCACCGCTCTCTTCGCTCTTGCTGCCGCGACCGCCGCGAATGCCGCTTCCGACCTTGGTGCCTGGAACGTTACCATTGAGAGCAACAGCGCCGCCAACGGCTATAGGTCGCGCACCGTCCTCGCTGATTTTGCTTCCGACGCCTATGCTGGCGACGACGTTATTCGCACCGTCTGCAAGTACGAGTTCATCCCTGGTGCCGACGGGGCCAAGGAGACAGAGAGCTGCGAGCCCAACACCTTCTCTTACGAGTACGATGGCACAAGTAAGTGTCCTCTCCTCCGAGCGTCCGGGATTTAAAGTACCAGGATGTGTGTTCTTCCGAACAATATGCTAACAACAAAACAGCTGTCAAGGTTCAGCAGAACATCGAGAAGCCCAACCCCATGACCGTCTTCGGCGAGGCTCCCCTTACACAAACTATGCAGCCCGGCGGCAATGGCAGGGGTTACAAGGGTAACGCCATTTTCGATGCCACCCGTGCCATTGCTTAAGCTCCGCAACATGAACATCCGCGGTAGACCTGTAAATACAAAAGGAGGACATGACTGTACATATCACCAAACGACACAATGAACTAGAGGTTTAATGTAACAACTTCAATTGAAACTACTTTGGCTACTCACGAAGAGCGCCTTACTATACTATTCCCATGATCTCATGTACACCACACCCTCGTGATAACCCATGACATTACGCCGTCTGCAATGAATCGAAAGATTTGAATAGTTTGCCAAGGAGGAACGCCTATGCTCCGTCATAGAATCGTGGTCCTCGCCCCGGTTCCACTTTAAGAATAGACCCTAGTCAGCAAAGTGCTGGTTGATTGAATGAGAACATGTCAGTAGGCTACTACGCTTCGCCAAACAGCCGGGCAGTGATGTCTCCCATGTAGGCCTCTTCTAGCTCGTAATCCTCGCCGCCCATACGATCGATACCGACGTACTCAAACGAAGCAACAACAGCTTCGACATCGAAGCCCATTGCAACAAAGCGGTCGACCAGGTCCTTGTTGTAGCCCTTGTATGCGGCGAGTTTTGATTTCTCTTCGTTCTGCTTCGCCTGTTGGGCCTTCTTTTTGATGGACGCAGCGGTGGCACCCCCACTACCCTCAGCAATCTCCTTCTTGGGCGCACCAGCATACGTGACTGCCCACTCGCGTGCCTTGTGTTCGAACTCAGCTGGGTTACGGATGAGCATTCCAGCGACTTCTGCGTCTTGTGGGTCTTTCGGTTCGGGTGTGCTGAGGAGAGATTGGAGCGAGATCAGAGCGGACTTGATGGTCAGAACCGGCGACCATTGCGAGGAGAGCGTGTCTAGACAGATGGCCCCCTAGTGCTGTTAGCTATCTTGAAGCGTGCCTTAGAACTTTGCTTGTCCCTTACCGTCTGTGAGCTGACATTAGGGTGCCAGATCTTGGTCTCGAACTTCATCAGCGGTGGACGGAAGGGGTATTCGCTCGGGATCCGGATGTCGACATGGTAGGTAGCTCCCTCGTATGGTGTGTCAGGCGGTCCGAAGAACTGACCGCGTAGATGTGTTAGGTCTTCCCCGTTGCCTGCCGGTTCGACGACGATCTTGGAGTGCTGATCGTTGTGGATGTCGGCAATCTCCTTGGCGATGCGCCGATTACGGTTGGAAGTCATTGTGGTGGATGATGACTGAGACCTTGAAATCGAAGGGGGCGCGTTTGTATAAGTATTGGAATCAGGCAACAGAAGGGCGCAACCAAGTTGCTTCTGGGTAGACGGGTCAGCCTGAGGCTCCGCAACGTGATCCGGGCTCCACTAAGTTGTGGTGCGGGGATGTGTCATACAGAGTCTTGGGGGTCTGAGGAGGGAAAAAGGCTTCTTGCTTCACCTGAACAGCGACTGTAATGGGGTTAGACTTACTCTAGTCTTGGTAGCTTTTGCGATAGAGAGTACCTCTTAGCCCGCGTGGGGAGCTATGGAGTGGCTCACCGGCGGGGTCAGAGCTCAGAGAGTGAAATATACTTGAGTTTTGGAGAAGCTTTTGGGGGAAGGAGAAGTTACCGTGAAATAAGTTGCTCAGTGAGAAGTGTATAGCTATCGGACCGGGCCTGACGTGTCTGATGTTCTATGGAGGTGGAATGGTGAGGCTTCCAGCGGTTCGAGGCAGTGACGCCACAAGGCGCTAACCCCGATCCTCCGACATCCACGAGCTTCGGAATCAGCGCATCAACACCTCTTACAAACAACCACCGCCTCACTGCCCCCATCGCCTCTACCACCACCCTCGCTGTGGTAATCTCTCCTCTAATCCTATTATACTGTTGAGCGCCCGATTCGCCTTTCCTCACCTGATCGCGTGTCATGGTAAGATCGCCTCTCATCGGAAGCCACCACGGCAACATGCTAAAGACATACAGGGTAACCAGCAATCGAGTGCTGGAGGCGGCGGACCTCCAGGAGACGATAAGAACAAGAAAGACAAGGTATGTGCTGTCCAGAACACACGGAATGATGGCTCTCGGGAGTCCGCTATCTGTCGCCTCACCGCACCTCACAGATACTAACAACGGCGTCTGCAGAAGGAGAAGCCAAAGTACGAGCCACCGCCACAACCCACAACCCGCATCGGCAGGAAGAAGAAGAAGGCCGCTGGCCCCAGTGCCGCCGCGAAGCTCCCGACCGTCTACCCAACTGCGCGATGCAAGCTACGGTACCTCCGAATGCAGCGAATCCACGATCACCTCTTGTTAGAGGAGGAGTACGTCGAGAACCAGGAGCGCCTCCGCAAGGCAAAGGCGGTCAAGGAAGGCAACGCGCCTGCTGCTGCCAACGCCGGGGACGGCGAAGACCGAAACGCTGATGAGCGCTCGCGCGTCGACGACATGCGAGGCAGCCCCATGGGTGTCGGCAACCTAGAGGAACTCATCGACGACGACCACGCCATCGTATCTAGCGCCACCGGCCCCGAGTACTACGTCTCCATCATGTCTTTCGTTGACAAGGACCTGCTAGAGCCCGGAGCGAGCATCCTATTGCACCACAAGTCCGTTTCAGTAGTCGGTGTACTCACAGACGATGCCGATCCGATAGTGTCAGTCATGAAACTTGACAAGGCACCGACAGAGTCGTACGCGGATATTGGTGGTTTGGAGCAACAGATTCAGGAGGTGCGCGAGGCTGTTGAGCTGCCTTTGTTACATCCGGAGCTGTACGAGGAGATGGGTATCAAGCCGCCGAAGGGTGTCATTCTCTATGGTGCGCCAGGTACCGGAAAGACGCTTCTCGCAAAGGCCGTCGCCAACCAGACTAGCGCAACTTTCCTGCGTATCGTGGGTAGTGAGTTGATTCAGAAGTACCTAGGAGACGGACCCAGGCTAGTGCGACAGCTCTTCCAGACCGCCGCCGAGAACGCGCCCTCTATTGTCTTCATCGACGAAATCGACGCTATCGGTACCAAGCGTTACGAGTCAACATCTGGTGGTGAGCGTGAGATTCAGCGAACTATGTTGGAGCTGCTTAACCAGCTGGACGGTTTCGATGATCGTGGAGACGTCAAGGTCATCATGGCCACCAACAAGATCGAGACGCTCGACCCTGCCCTTATCCGTCCTGGTCGTATTGACCGAAAGATTCTCTTCGAGAACCCCGACCGTGAGTTTCACAATATATTGGAAAATGTGCAGATGCTGACCACCATGCAGAAACCACCAAGAAGAAGATCTTTACTCTCCACACTTCCAAGATGTCACTCAACGAGGATGTCGATCTTGACGAGTTCATCAACCAGAAGGACGACCTTTCTGGTGCTGACATCAAGGCCATCTGCTCCGAGGCAGGTCTTATGGCGCTCCGCGAGCGTCGTATGCGGGTCAACATGGAGGACTTCCGTACCGCAAGGGAGCGTGTTCTTAAGACGAAGACTGAGGGTGAACCCGAGGGCTTGTATTTGTAAGCGTAGGAAGCATGCGAGGTCTGATATCATCTTCAACACTCAAGAGCTATTTGCAAGTATATCAGTAGAAGTTGCACGTATGAACGACCTGATCACGACAGGTTTACAGTACTCACAGTCAGTCAAACCTTTCCTTCTGTTGTGATGTTTTCGTGAGCCTGTCGACAATGAAACTTTGTTCTTTTGCTAGAACTGTCATGGACTGGCAACTACAACAACCCCAGACCTAGCTATTTGACGCATCTACACCATTGACAGTTCCTCGCTGTCGTAATAAAGCTTTCCAAGTTGCCTAGTAAGTAGCACCTTCCTTCTATGCTCCTGGTCTCAGTCGTGACCGTGCACCGCTTGTGTCATCCGATCTGGGTCAAGGGAAGTCACCTCGTCGCATACCTTTCGCGATCTTTCTCGCCATGTTGCGCTATCTTCTTTGGCTTCTGTAAATGGCTCTGTCGAATTGGGCAGCAAAGAGGCTTCGGTTGGTTATATAGTCTTGTCTTCCTCATCGCACAGTCCTGACTGAGTTATGGTCTTTCAGTATTAGGAAGGAGCGTCATCACATTGGCGACACATCACACAGGCAAATTTCAGCCGAGATCTAATGTACTAAAACCCTCAGCATTCGCGGTGTTACTGCCTTCACTTAAGTAGAAGGGCTAGCTATACAGTCCGCAAAAGTGAGAGACCGGTACTAGCTCGTCTCCCCAGGGATATAAAAACCGCTTACCAAACCCAATTCGATATCTTGTCTCCCCCACCACAATAACCAGTTAAAGTTGGATTCTGGATTGACGACCTCACATTGTCGCCGCCTTCGGGGCAATTGAGCTCAGTGTCTCCCAAGAGAATACGACTGCTTCCACTATACACGACCTCGACACCTCATTCGCTATGGAGATCGAGGCACCCACCTTCATCTCGCTCAACAAGGCTCAGAAGCGCGCGCTCATTCTCCGCGACCAACTTCGCTTTCATGATCCGCACCACCTGGATTTGTTCATTGAGGGTATCAGTAACGATGAGCCACCTACTTACACCAAAGTGAACGGTATCATCAAGCCTGAACTGGTCTTGGCCACACTTAAAGAAGAAGCCAGACGTTTCGATCTTGGCAACGTACAACTACCGGAAGAGCATAACTCCATATACCGCGTTTACCTAGTGGTAGAAGATGGCCAGATCCAGATGCAGACTGAGGATCCTTTGCCACAAGATGAAAACGTCCTTGACTCCCAACCTATTCATGGCTTCATTGCTAGGACTATGGTACCAATGTTCAAAGAAAAATTCCAGGTTATCTTCGCGAGGATGAACAAGATCAACGAGGCTAGGCGGGCCGCTTACAACATGCCTAACCAGGCGCCAGTTTTGTTTCATGAAGGAGAGGTATGTTCGTTAGCATGTTATGGACTCTGTCAGGTCCCCTGCAGACATCTTTTCGAACATAAGTTGCGTGGACCAAGTACTTCCTGCTGACTGGGTACAGACACTCGCAAGGCTCGATCCAGCGAAGGCTGAGCAGGACCGGACTCTTACTCGTGGTAATCATTTTAGTCATTATGATAATACAGCACTGACGAAATGGTAGTGACGAAGTCACGCAAGCGAGCACTGAATGAGGAGATCGTTCAACATGTCTCCAACAAGCGCAAATGCGTTGGTCTCGACGCAATCCCTGAAGATGCGAAGCGTAAGACCTTCGACACGATTTCGAGCCACGTCAAAGTTGATTTGTTCAACTCTATCGTCAATACGGCATTCCCAAACTTTAACAACCTGATGATTGCGTCCTGGAACGTGATCACAATCTATACGGCTTGCGGTAGCGACTTTCCAGATCTTCACAAGGCGATGGTCGATCTCAAAGGAGTCCTCCAGGATTTCGACGAGTCTTTTGGTCAGCACGTTGATCGAGCCCCGCCTAAATACAGGGACGACTTTGGTGGACCTTCTCGGGACGGTACGGATGAGGATGGGACCCAAGATCGTAACGGGAGGCGCGATCAGGAGCGTTACAAGGACTGCAAAAACGATGACGTTGATCATCATGGGAATCTCTTCGAAAATCATGTGCCTGTCTTGGGACAGGGAGGAGTTGGTGACTCTAATCAAGTTGGCGCTACCACTGCTAACAAAGCGGCGCAGGTGCAAGAGGGCATTGCTGAACAAGGTGACGGCACGGAAGATTCAGACGGACACGATGACGAAGACGACCAAGTACCTCCTGTGGATCCAGGTCTGGCTCCCACGACCGAATATCCCAGCGAAGTTTGCCGACCTGGCTCACATCATATGGCAGAAACCCATGTTGGAGGCCAAGAGTACGCTCACCATCATCACGCACATGTGAAGAAAGTTCGAGAGCAGCACGTCGACGACGACGATGCTGAAGATCTTCCCCTCATTACATTACGATCAGGATCTCGTCGTGAGGCGTACTCATCCTCCGTTGAAAGGAAGCGTAACGAAGAGTCGCCCGTCGATAAAGCTACTCCTAAGACTATACAGAACGCGACCAGCACCAAGGCATATTCTGCGGAGACCGATTCCCACTCAGAGCTCGATCAACAAACGCCACAACTGCAAGATGGCCCGGCCGCAAACCCGACTTCTGCTTCATCGCCTCAACCTAGGAAGAAGAAGCAGCGCGACATCTCTAGCTACACCATCGTCGAACTCGAAAAGAAGTATAAGGAGCGCGAGGCTCACATTCTGACTACCTTCGAAAACGACATGAGCAAAGTCCCGGAGAAGCACCGCAAGGCCCTCGAGTCGATGAAGGCTCTGCTTGAGGGTCGTAAGAAAGATGAAGCGCAGGAGAAAGCCAACAAAATGAGCGATTCCTCTGGAAAGTTTGGACGTCCGGGTACCAGCAATGGCGGCATGTTCGGCAACTATACTGGCAAATCTCCCAGCAACCATCTCGGCAACTCTGTCCTAGGAGCGAAGAAACCAGCAAGCATCGCGCCGGTGGCGCCAATGTTTCCGAACGGCAGCCGAAGAGATCCGAGGAATGGTGTTGCACAGGGTAGGACAGGCAACACATCTCCTTACGGGCGTGGTAACTGATGCTAAACCGAACGGGTGCGCCTCGGAGGGAGAGGATTCCTTACAAGTTTTTGAAGAATCACGTTGAACGCATTGTTGATTGACACGAGGAGTCTCCGGGCGGAATCCAGGCGAGATTTGGGTAGTTTGCTACGGTGTGGGCATTTGGTGGCATCGATTTGGTTGAATATTCACGAAACTGGTGAGACATTGGATAGGCGTCGGTTTATACACGCGACAGGTTAATGACTGGGAGCATGCAAAGGCCTTCAAAAGGCAAAGTGTTGGTTAGACGTCGGTTTATTAACATGACGGGGTAATTGGTAATAGGAGGCAGCACGCCACGGCCTTTGATCTGGAATCTTGCATAGCCAGATTAGCAAGAATGTGAAATGATTTTGTTTACCCTCTTGAAACTCCTTGTGCTACTCGCTTGATGAGCACACTGGTATCTTTAGGAACACCTATAACGCCACCCAATGTCGCCTGATACGAGTGAACGCCAAATTTATATGCATATCCTTGACCATCACGACCGCACTACTCCGCCTTCTTAAGCTCAGGCCCCCAGAAAGCATCAGACTCCTTCTCATACCCCTCCCTCGCCAGTTTTCTCCTCTTGGCCTTACTCTCCTCTAGCGCATCACCCTGCACTGCATCCCTCTTCTGCGCCTGATTCAACTTGACCAAATCGGCCTTGTCTGGATCCCGGCAGTTCTTAAGCTTCTGCATTAATGTCTTGATTTCCGCCTTATGCTTCGCGTCCCTCGCCTCCCGCTCTGGCGCTGGTAGTGTATTATTGACATAAAGACGGTGGCTTGAAATAAGAGATGCACATTTCCGCAATGTGCTCAGGAGTTTGTCGTAAACCGGATTAGACGTAGGCACCTTGAGTGACAGGTAAAACAACGTGAGCGGTTCATCGGCGAGGAGATGGGCGGACAACCAGATCTGAGAGGGCGTGTACAGGAAGTACGCATCTGTCAACACGGCAATAGTGCGGAGGGTGTTAGTCGCCACACCATACGCATTATGTATCCTCTCCTCAACCTTCTTCTCGGGCATCTTCATCGCCGGACCTCCAACCTTTACCGGAACAGAACAAATCTTAGCCTGGATCTCCTTCGATCCTAGTCCCTGCGCCGGCCCCTGGTATTTCCCATGCGCCATCTCCAGCATTTCCATGTGACCAGCCTTGATAGCGCGGAATGGATGCCGGACGTCGAGGTTGTAGCGGAGACTCTGGACGATGATGTATTCGGGGGCGAGGACGTCTTCGGCGGTCACGTTGCGGCCAGCGCCTTCAGCGTACTGCGAGACGTGGATGGGGAAGAGCTCGACTTTGGTGGCGAGAAACATTATTGTGCGGAGGATGTTGTTAACGTGGTAGGTCATGGGAGAGTTGTAGAGGTAGAAGCGGCGGAGGAATTGGATACATGTTGACTGGTGATGCATTAGTGACCATCTCTCATCTATTTCCTAGTATGAAGTGCTGGAGGCGTATAAAGAGCAGGAGAAGTGTAGTTAGACATACGACGACGTTCAAGGGGAAGCTGTAATGGTTCCCCAGGGCGACTGCGCGTTCGCAGAATTCGTTTACTATCTTCAGTTCCTCCTCTGCGGTGAGGCAGTTTATTTCTGTTACGCTTTGCATTCGCCCATCTGGAGTGTTGGTTCCGCTAGTCCCGCTCCCGTTCTCCTTGTCTATGCCAGATCCAACAGTATCATTGTCCACGGCGTCGTTGCCGCGCTGGGCTCGTAAACGCGCAACATTCGCTTTGACGCGCTCGGTGGCTTGAACGTTGATCTTCAGCCGTTGGGCGGCTAGTTGTGGCGCGGTGAAAGACCAATTTCTAAACTGCGTAGAGTTGCGATAGAGGTCGTCTTCGGTGAGCTGCATGGTCGTGGTGATTGGCCGAAGCTGGGGCTGGGAGCGTGGCACCAGGATTTGGGTGGTGAGAAGGGACGTGATGTCGCGACTGCAGGGCAAGTCCAGCCGAGGCGCCTCGCGCGCCTTCTTTCCGCTCTGCCTTTCGGTCCTTCAGCGTCGCATCCTTCACCCTCTTCTGCCTGATAACATCAAATATTTCATCTACTTGAGCTTTTTCCAAGATTCGAATATCCCAGATGACGGTCTTGCTAGATCTTGGCGGTACCTGTCCATCACCTAGGCACAAAGGCATGGCAGTACCATGACCGTGGTCCTGTCAAGTTACTAGAGCTTGGAAGTACGCGAAGCATGCGGCTCGTCATGCGCTGCGCCAATGACCCTGTCAATATGTAGGCCTTCTAGAATACCCTCAATTGTGCTCAAAGTGTACCTCAATCATGCTCAGTGGGCACTGAAGGAGTATGCTACAAGAGGCTGTCCCTTCCGCGCTCCTGACCACATCGATTTCCTTCTTCTGCCAGTCGCCACCACATACTCCGCCTCATCTCCGCTACCTATGCTGCTCGACTCAACGAGTAAAATGCCAAGGCCAACCGTGGAGATCGCCCTTTCGGTTTCCCAGAATTCGTATTAGTCGAGATAAGGACCTTGGTGCCTGGGTGAACGTCTGCCGATAGGCGCGCTTCGGTTCAACTCCACTTCCGTTCTTTTGCATTCCGTTGCCTACCGCATAGATCGGAAGAGCGAGGTTTTCCATTTTTAGTCGGATTCAAGCACACTCTTGAGCACCGGAATGGCGACATCTGACACGCAGCATCCTCTTGACGGAAGTTTGCCTGGAATGTCCTCGTGTATCCACGCACAGCATCGATCCGGCTAAAGTCTATCGTCGGCTTACACCATCCAGTTCACCACTTTCTCTAGAATCAATAGTCAGGTTCAAAGCTCCTCACGGTTATTTGGTCGTGGCGCGCATGGGGTCCAGTCATTCTTGGCAAGCAAAGCAGCTTCCTCTTTAGGCTACGCTATCTACCAATCCCCATCTCCGCTCAAGAAGATCCCACCCTAGGTTGCACTGCGTCTGTGTAGCCCCGCCATGGCCTCGACCAGCATGCCCTGCAGTATACTGGGGTACACCAGCCGTAGTTCCATGCTCCCATGCTCGAATCCAAGGCGGAATGCTTGCCAAGCACCACACTATTCTCGGCGTACATGAACGATTGCCTGCAAAAATCACGCCCAAGACTTCACCAAGGTTCGCCCAGGACCTTGCTGCATACAACGGCCGCTGTCGTTGCTTCTATACGGCCTTGGTTGCTTATACTAACTTTTCGGAGTACCTGCGATAGGAAGGTCTGCTCATGATAGTCATCTACGGCGTCCTGCACGCGACGGCATCATGGCAGGTCGGTGCTTCCGAGAGGGTGGTGCAGAGAGGGGAGGATATATAAAGTGTTGTAACCTGCTCCCAGGTTCTCGGATCATCATCAACTGCCAACCGTCAATCCGCAGTCTTGTTCGCAAAGATGAAGTGGGCTACTATCACCACGGCTTTGCTGCCTTTGGTCGCCGCTCATGGCTTTACCCACCAGCAATATGCCTCTGGAGAGGTCATGGACCTCATGATGTCCGGCAAGGAGATGGCATGGGCTAAGCAGCGCGCTGCTGGCAACTACGACAGCAAGCGCTGGAATGGCTTCTCCCACAAGCGCTCCAACAAGAACAAGATTGAGTGCAAGCACGGCCGTGTTGAGGCTGTCAAGGGAGATGCCGACCAAACCTACAAGGTAAGAAAGATCATTCCACCAAAACCATTCCCAATTAACACTAGCACAGTGCAAGAACATCGATCTGTACGACTTCAAGACGCACGAGGAGCTCGGTGATGCCATTGGCGAGGGAAGTGGCTCGTGGGGTTGGTCGCACAAGGGCCGTGACTTCGTAAGTAATCCCTGTTATACCGGATTATCCTCTGGATAAAAGCGAACCAAAACTAATTCCAATTAGATTGCCATCGGTCAGACTTACGGTGCTTCTTTCTCCGAAGTTACCAAGGACGGTCAGTTGGAGTACCTTGGACGCCTTCCCGCCAACAACGACTCCGTTATTTGGCGTGAGATCAAGGTCGTTCGTGACAGCCTCATTGTTGGTTCCGAGGGTGTTGGTCACCACGTCCAGGTCTTTGACCTGAAGAAGCTGCTCAAGCTCTCTCCCAAGAAGCCTTACACTTTCGATATCAAGAAGGACACTGCCCTTGTCGACATCAACCAGGGTATCAAGGGCCGTACCCACACTGTCGTCGCCAACGAGGAGAAGAACTATGCCGTCGCCTGCGGTGCTGGCGGTCGTCCCGGTCGTAATGACACCTGTGCTGGTGGACCCATGTTCATCAACATGGACGATCCCACCAAGCCTTACGTCGAGGGTTGCAACGGCCAGGACGGCTACACTCACGACGCTCAATGCATTGTCTACCGTGGACCTCACAAGAAGTACTACGGCCGTGACATCTGCTACGGTTACAACGAGGACACTCTGACCATCTACGACGTCACCAACAAGAAGGGTTTCGGTAACGCTGGTGCCATCATCTCTCGCACACCCTACGTTGGAGCTTCCTACACCCATCAGGGTTGGGTTCTCGACCCCTACTGGCAAACTCACATCGTGATGGACGATGAGCTTGACGAGGGCCAAATCGACCCCAACCGCACTGCTGTTGACAGTCCCGCCAAAGATGGTTTCGCTGTGACCTACATTTGGGACATCCAGAACCTTGAGAAGCCCGTCGTCACCGGCTACTACAAGACCACCACCCGCTCTGTCGACCACAACCAATACGTCTACGACGGTCTTGACTACCAATCCAACTACCAGGCCGGTCTCCGTATCCTTGACGTCTCCAGCATCCCCAAGTTTCCTGACGGCTCCAAGGTCAAGGAGATTGCCTACTTCGATGTCTACCCTCCGGATGATGTCAAGCCCGGCGGCGGTGACGCTCTCTGGGACGCTGGTACCTGGTCTGCCTACACCTTTGAATCTGGTTACGTTGTCATCAACACCATTGACCGTGGTGTCTTTGTTGTCAAGCAGGCCGATGTCAAGGGCAAGAGGAGGGGTCGCGGCCAGT